GCCAAGGTGAGCGGGCAGATACACTATGAAGCCATTTTATAGGTTTCTCTAACAAGTTAGGGCCGCTAGGTTTCCTTGGCGGCGCGATGTAGGAACCCCCTTTTCCATGGCACATATTCATCATGCGGCTATACACATAGGAACAGAGGCAGTCCTATACCCAACGTGGCAAGCCCTTTTAGCCCATAAAGGTAACCTCTAACAAGCTAGAAAAGGTCCTATTACTGAGCTAAAGTCGAGCCATATGACCCTCACGGTTGCCTTTGTCACCCCAGCTTTTTGCCGACAGATAAGTCCTTATGGAGGGCCGAGAGCATTATGATCGAAAGTCATTTGCTCCATCGCCCTATAATCCAGTTGTTTAAAAGCAACTTTTACCTTTTCTTTCCATAGAATTGTTGTTCAATATGTAGCTCACGTATATTTATGTTGAGCACTAGCAAACTACTCATATGCATATAACCCATAGGAGACAAGGAACAGGATAATCAATCACTAGGATGTCCTTACGGGTATCAAAATTAGACACATGGAAATAAGTAATTAATAAAGGTGAATAGGCATCAAGGTAGATCCCATGCTATACTTGCCTTGGTTAGCAAACTCCTCCTGGTCCTGCTGGTCGTCGAAGTATTCTTGGTCTCCAACGTTCTCCTCACCGTCTGAACGCGACCAACACGGCAACATACAACATTCCAAAGGCATTCATGCAAAGCAAATAAATCATATAATTAGAACAGTACACCAACAGTATAGAAAACAAGATAAAATGTTTATGAAAATAATCTACGTCTCGCTATGATCACGTCAACGCGAAGTTCACGAAAAACGGAGTTAAAACGCGAAAGTTATGAATTAAACGGGTTTTCCTATAGCACTTTATTTAATTAAACCTAACCATGAAATTTAAAAGTTGCAAAATTGATTAACAGTGGTACTAACACGTAGCTTATGAAATTACGAAGCTAACGCAATTTGAACGGATCAATTCGGAGCTAAAACGAAGTTTTAAGAGCAAAACAAATCTAGTGGCATTTCTGTAAATACTGAAAACGTGTTTTAGACTAAAACAGTGAACTTTACGTTTTCAAAATGAGAATGCGTATTCGGGGAACTACGCATTGGACTGCGGATTCAATTAGATGAAAACCGAGGGGCTCTTTAGAAAAATAACCCGCGAAGGGGTATCGGCCAATCAAAGCCGTCGGATCAAGGATGGGTGGCTCGGATTAGATCAGAGGGAGGAGAGAAGGAAGGGGTCCGGCCAGAACAGTGACGCCGGCGGCAAACTCCATGGCCGACGGCGTGGAGGTCTCTGGCGCGCACAGAACACGGCCTATGGGCCACGGTTCGAAGAACCGAGGACACCGGGAGTTAGTTGGGGTGAAGGGGAACTCGCCAATGGCCGTTACGGCGGCCGGAGGAGGGAGCCAAGGCGGCGGACGCCATGGCCGGCGGCCAAAGCTCGTGGACGCTCGCGAAAAGGGCCCAAACGGCCACGAAATACAAAATTGAAAGCACAGGGGAAAGGAGGGGAGCACGGCGAAGCTCACCGCGACTTCAATCGGGGATGAACGCAACTCGGGGATGGCGTTTCGCGCGGAGGGGCGGACGGCGGTCGGCGAAGCTCTTCCGTCTGGCGGTTGCGACCTCCGTGGCGTGGCGAGGTGAAACGGTTGGGAGAGCAGGGGCGCTGCGCTGGGGCTCGGCTCCTTTAAATCGAGGCCGAGGAGCGGGCGCTCCCACGACGCACGACGTGGCGGCGGTTGCAGCTGCGTCAGGCGCGGGCGGGCGGTTCCGAGCCACGCGGGAGGAAGGGGATGGCGCCGATATAAAGCGGGCCCGCGTCGATGGTCGGGAAGGAGACGCGGGCGACGGTTGCTGCCAAACCGTTAATGCTCGGTTTGGGCAAGGCAATGGCCAGTCTTTGCTGCAAGCAGCGCAAGCAAGGGGTAGGCGAAATTTGGCCAAGCAGCTTGGTTTGGCGAGGCGAGGCTGGGTCAATGGCCGGTCAGGTCGGAGGAAAAGGCCAGCGTCGAAGGAGCTAGGCCAAAGGGCGAAATGAAGAAGGGAGGTCGAAAATGAATTTTGCATTTTCTTTTTCCAAATAGATTTCAAAAGCATTTTCAAATAGGTTTTGAATTCATTTGAACTTTGAATCAAGATCAATCATCACAAAATTAGATATGCAGCAGCATGTATGCATCAAGAAGTTTCTAACTTTATATTTAATTTTAATTCCACAAAATTTATTATTTTTCTATATTTTAATGCACACATATTTGCATAAATAAATCAATTTAGCTATTTTAAAAGAGTGCAAATTTTAGGGTGTTACACCTTCCTTTTAAAATGTTCCACACTTGCTACATCCAAATCCTGTGAACAAAGCGTCTCAGGGATAACCCAGTTGTGCAGCAACTGGATGGCTAAACAAATGTCCACCAAGAATAAAATATTTTTCTCCAAAATACCATGTCATTCCTGTATGCTAGCTACAACGACTAATTATTTGTTGTGGCTGCCTCCAATAGGACCAAAATGTCTGGCCAAACAAGTATAGCAAGTGCCTCCAATAGGACCAAGACGGTCTAGTATCTTATCTCACTATTACTAATTAGAGGCCCCAATAGCGACACCACGTTAATTCCCACCAGATGCGCTACGAAAAAAGAAAAATCCTAAAAATTCTCACAATAATAAGAAACATCTAGCCTTTAATTCGATAGACTCGAATCATCATCATTGATAATAGCCATTGGATCCATTACAATTTATAAAAAAAATTATCCACTTCTGCCATTATAAAAAATATATAAAGTAACCCCCTAATTTTGCATCTAAATTACCCACATCTGCCATTACTCAAGATAATTCAAAATAACCCCTAAGTTTTTACATAAATTACCACGTCTATCATTATGAAAGGTAATTCAAAATAACCCCCTAAATTTGCATCTAAATTACACACCTTTGTCATAATGAAATATAATTCGAAATAACCACGTAACATTGCATCTAAATTACCCATTTTTACCATTATGAAAGACAATTTTAAAATAACTCGATAACTTTATATCCAAATTACTCACATCTATCATTATGAAAAATAATGTAGAATGCCCCTTAATGATTTTATAAATTATCCATCATTGTCTTTATAAAAGATAATGCAAAGTAACCTCCTAAGTTTGCATTCTAGATACCAAAAATATGCCATTATGAAAGATAATATAAATAGTGGCGGGGCTTGACCCCCTAGGATTAGGGGCCAGTTTATATAATTGAGCATCAAACACTATTGAATAGTCTAGGAAACACTGTTTGGACAATGCAGATTAAATGGGCAACGGTGGCCATGGCCGATCATGGTCTTAACCAAGCTCCGCCCCTAAATATGAAGTACTGTTTTATGTTTGTATCTGCCTAGGGCGTTATAAAAAATAAAAATATCTCTCAAATCTAAATGTAAATACTAATATATGTTATTACATTAGATAACCACAACTCTATGTTTCACCATAGAGCATATATATGTTTCTACATTATCCACTTCCATCAATATTAACTAATATATTAGGATTTGATTAAAGTAAGCATACATGTCTTGCTAGCATGCATGAGCGATAAATATATATGTTACTTTCATAACATAAAAATACTTTCTTAAAAACTCATACACTAATGATACTAACAAATTGTTTAAAACCATATTAGTAACTATGACAAAAAAATTTATATAGGTTGTCACTTTAGATATATTTATACATTTTAACTAAAACGTTTGACACATCTATATTGATAGTATAGCCATAACTGCACATGTAATTCCTTGATAGAAAAATTCAGTTATCTTGAGAAGTGTGGGTGACCACTGCTGACTATATTTTTCCGGCCTTTACGATTATTTTGAAGTAAAAAGTCGATCATTATAATGCTTAGGTATTAAAATTCTATTGAGGTTAGCACTGCTACCCAATCCGAGATCTCACTTAAAGCTTTACCACTTAAGTTAAGTGACAGGTGTAGGTTTTGAATGATTGTTTATAGTATTATAGTATTTAAGAACGTACTCATGCACCCTAAAATTTTTATTTTAAAAAGTGCAAAAAGAGAGTTAACAAAAGATACAATAAGCATAAGAGTTTTAACTTAACTTGAGGATAAAAAAATCTATAGTAGTCAATAAGAATAAATTTAAAATTAAAATTTAGATTGATGACTTTGTAAGTTATATGATGGAATAAGAGACACCATAGTCAATTGTAAGGTTTAAACTAATTGCATATTTAAACTATACAAAGGCGCCATGCAAAGAAAAAATATGAATATGAATGAAAAAAATGTATACATCAACTCCTTGCAAAAAATATTAATACGTATATAATAATTGGATGTAGACTACGAGTTTCTATTATATCTATTATATTAAAAAATAAACAAACAGAAAACATATAATTGAATATAAGTAATTCTTTATTTGTTATGTGTTAAACAATAAATAATACTTATAACTCCTAAAATTCTAGCCCTTGCGAGAGCACAGGTTAATGGACTAGTAATCACAAACTCTGTTTACATACACTTGGTCGGGCCATGCCATATACACCATGAATCTTGAAATACACACATTGGAGTACCTACATCTTGGAGTAGAAAAGATTTTCTATATATGTACGTATATATGCGTGTGTATGTGTACGTGTACATATCTATCTATAGTAGCCATGATATATGTATGACAATGACATGTAGATCCCCGTGTTAGTGAAACTTATTACCATACAGCTCAAATGAGATCAGTTTGATCTACAGCGGTGGATTCCACTATACATCCTTTTTTTTAAAGGAGATTCACTCTGCTTTTATCAAGGCAATTAAGAGTCTATTCCTCTATACATCTAGACATTTCTGAAATATATTTCAATGGGTTCAGACATTTCTGTGTGCAAAAATTCAATGGGTTTAGACATTTTTGAAGTGTATTTCCTGGAAGTAATTTAACTATTTGAATGTCTATTGCTACGATCCAGATATTGATGATGTGGTGGATACGACATCATCTGATGGCCGGGACCTCCAGGAGACAAGTTCGAACCCGCCGACTGTACCTGCACAAGTTAAACGCCAAGTGATGTCATTAGTATCTGCAGCATGGACGCACAAGTTAAAGCAAGAGTCAATATACTCACCGGGGTCCCTCCAGGAGCGACAGGAGCAGGCACAGGAAAAAACTCTGGAGGAGGAGGCGGTGGAGCGAACATTGGAAGAGGAGGCGGTGTAGACGCCCCGGGCGTCTGCATGGACTGGAAGAAGCTGGCCATGTTCTGCATCTGAGTGTTGTAGTGCTGCTGCAGGCTTTGCTGGTAAGCCATCTGTTGCGCCATCATCTGCGCGTGCAACGTGGCGATCCTCTCCTCCATCTTGGCCTCCATCTGGGCCTGCAATATTACATCCGCAGTGTTGATTGTATGTACAGGTGCGAAACGAGTGAACGACGAACGAAACGGCACTTACCTGTGACGCTGACTGCCGCCGGGGCGCTACGGGGATGTCGCTGGAGCTCGTGGGCGTGGATCGAACCTGGGTCAGCGTAGGAACCTGGGACGGGTCGAGGGCGCTGTGGGCCATGTAGTAGCGGCCGTGCTGCTTCCCTGGTCCCAACCTCTGCCTTGCATGTCGGGCAAGGGAACTTCCCGTGAACACTCCACCCGCTGAATAAGCCATACGCCAGGAAGTCATGCATTGAATATTGGTACCACACATGCATTCTGAAGTTCCTCTTCGTAGCCCGGTCGTACGTGAGTACCCCCTCTTCCCAAGCAAGTTCCAATTCATCCCACACCGGCTGCATGAACACACCCATATTGTCGCCTGGGTGTCCAGTATTATCGGCGTCAAGAGCACGTTCTTAGGTTCAAACATGACGCCTTGAAGAGATTGAGGGGATCACAAACACGGGCCAGCAAGTGTGCGGGCCGCCATCATTCCAAACGGGTTGAACCCATCTGTTGCCGGCGCTTCTGCGTACATTTCGAGCCTCCATAGCCTTGACAGATTCATGTTATCGAAGTGCTTCCATGCATCACCGTCTCATGGTGTACCATCTTGTCAGGATGGTATCTTTTGCCATTCTTGTGCCACGTCATCTGTTTCGCGGACTCCTCCGTCATATACAGCCGTTGCAGCCTCGGTAGGAAAGGAAGGTGCCGTATGACCTTCTCGGGGACCTTAGACTGTTTCATGCTGCCATCAGAGCCTTCTACCAACACGAACCTAGAGGCATCGCACTTCGGACAGGTTTTTGCTTCCTCGAGGTCTCCCCTGAACAGGACGCACCCCTTCGGACAAGCATGGATCCCCTCATACGGCATCTTAAGTGCACGAAGGAGCTTCTGTGTAGCGTAGGTGTTCGTCGACAGGACATGATCTGCCGGAAGTAGTCCCCCAACAATGCTCAACACGAGATCGAAGCCGTCTTGACTAATGCCCAGCTGCGACTTCAACCCTATCAGGCGTGAGACGGCATCCAGTTGCGTAAGCTTTGTCTTCTCGTGAAGGGGCTTCTGTGCCGACTCCATCATGTCGTAGAAGGCCTTCGCGGTTTCCTCCGGATCTTCCTCCACATCCATTCCTTCGCCAAACCGTGCTTCGTGGAAGTCTGCCATCATGTCTGCCATCCCGGCATCGCCATCATACTCCTCGAGGACGGGTCGCACCACCTCGTCCCTAATAGGATGGTATTCACCATGGTGGCGCCAACGGGTATAGTTTGGAACGAACCCGTGCTTGAACAGATCTCTCAACACCTGAGCCTTTACTTTCTTCTTCTTGTTCCTGCACTCGCTGCAGGGACACGGCATCCGAATCGACCCTTTAGCAGCTGGGCCAAATGCATGCTCCAGGAACTCAGTCGTCCCCCTGATCCATTCGTGGCTCTTACTTGCGAAGCCCGAGTACATCCACTCACGGTCACCCATGCTCTGTCATGCGGCAATGTTAACATGTGATAAAACCAGCAAGTGCATCTACAACGCGCTCCTACCATCTAATAGGTGAAGGATAGGTCCTAATCCCACCCGAGCATGCGCAGACGAGGTTAGCTTCCATGCTCCGCTCCCGTCCGAGACGGAATTTCGGCAGCACCTCCCCGCTGTTCTCCCGATACACGTCCCGGCGGGGAGAGTGTGTATCCAGAGAACAACGGGGAGGTCCTGCCGAAACTCCGACTCGGACGGGAGCGGAACATGGGAGCTAACCTCGTCACAAGATCCTCAAACTGTCCAAATAATCGGATAATCCGAAACGGATACGGTTATACATATGCGAAGAATGCATACTTCCAACCGTATCCGTTTCGGACGGGAGACGCCTAACTGGGTAACGCGACCTATGACTACATGTGGCGGAAAGAGGGGTCATACCGCAGGTGCCGGTGAAAAAAGGCTAGCGGGCGGCGCGTCTGTCGAGTCGTGCTCCTCCGGCTAGCCTCCAATGGGAGCCCTCCTGAAAAAGAAAAACAATTAGTGAGAACGAAAAATTTCGGCAGCACCTCCCCTGTATGGGAAGGTTACCAAACCTGCAAGAAAAGACGGCACGATGGCCGACAAACACATATACATGTCAGGCATGATGGCCAACAACCACAAATATATTTCCAATCCATGCCGAAGAATATAAGCAGGTATTAACAAAGTAAACTACTACTACTAGTAGTACTACTACCTCGTCGTCACGGACGGCGTCCACCGGGCGCAGGAGCGAGGGCGCCTTGAGACGGCGAGAGGCGGACAGGCAAGGCGAGGCGAGGACGGCGTGGCGAGGCGAGGACGGCGAGGCGAGGCGAGGACGGCAGCGGCGAGGACGGCGACGCAGGCCGGGCATGGACGGCGAACGCGCCACGGACGGCGGCAGACGGCGCACGACGGACCAGCGGACGGCGGACGGAGCGGGCACGCCGGATCGGGCGGGCAGCACACGGCGCCGGGCGGGTCGGGCGAGGCAGGCAGCACCACCGGGCCGACGCCGAGCTGCACGTGGCGGCCTGGCGCCTGGCCGGGCCGGATCGGGCGGGCAACACCGGTGAGGGGCTCTGGCGGGCGGCCAGGCCGGGAGGGCCAACATGGGGGGCCAGTCTGGGGGGACGCCATGGGGTGGCCCAATGTGGGGAGCGCGGGGGGGGGGCGCCACTGGGATGGCCACCACGGGGAGGGACCAACATGGGGGGCGCGCCGGGGAGGGGCCACACATGGGAGGGCGCCACGGCCGGGAGGAGGCCGGGAGGGAGGAGGAGGGATCCGCCACGGGGGAGAGAGGGAGGAGGGCGGGGGGGGAGGGGGGGATCTGCCATGGCCGGCCGGGCGACGGCCGGCCGACGGCAATGCGGCCTGGTGTGGCCGGCAGGCAGCGAAGGCGGTTATTTAAGGGCAGGCAGGGATTTTGGGAGGGAGGGCGGGCCGAGCGGATAAGGCGACGTTTTTTTTTTTTTTTTTTTTCCTTTGCCGATCACAATTGACATGACATGTGACGCAGTCGGCAAAGGTCTATTATTTTTTTTTTCAAAAATTATTTTTTAAATTTTTTTTAAAAATACTTTGCCGACTGCTCTGCTCCCTGGCAGTCGGCAAAGGTTATTTTTGATTTTTTTCTCATAAATTCTTTGCCGACTGCCATCCTCCCCGGCGATTCGGCAAAAGGCTCTTGCCAACCCGCCATGATGGCGCTCGGCAAAAGAATTAATTTTTTTTTCGATTTTCGATCCCGCTTTGTGTTGCCTTGCTACAGTAAGTACATGATATATTCCAAGTTTGGGGTCATTTTGATTTATTTTGCTATATTCCATTGATTTTTTCTGCTTTTTGATTTTTCCGTGCAATTCAGTTTGAGCTGCAGGTACATGAAATAATGGAATCCGGCGATTCAGAAAATGATATTCATGATGTTTGGAGCATGTTGAGGCCATGTGCGGGGCCTCGCGTGAAATTTCGACCGTGTTGGTGTCGGAACACGCCGAGCCACGCGCGTGAAAAGTGTTTTTAAATTTTATAAAATCGAAACGGCGTCCGAAAATGACAAAACTTGACGATGTGTCTTGTCATCGCATGCGGAGGCTGTGGTAAAATTTTGAGAAAGTTTCGAGCAAGTGGCGACGTCGGGTGCCTTAAGTGCTACAGTAACCCACTTGTGCTAATGACCGATTAATTAGTATCATTAGATTCGTCTCGGGTTCTATAATTTGTTTTTTTATTAGTATCCAAAACCCCCTCCCGACATCCTTCCGCTACATCCGATATGACACCCAAAAAATTTTACCTCCCCAACTAAACACACCCTAACTGCCGACGTGCGCGAGGGCACGCGTGATGGACTAGTGACTAGTATGTTGATTCTTCCATGACCCAGTCCAAGTGGTGTAGCCTGATTGATTCTAGGAGCGTACACAACCATGATGTGACGAGGAGAGAGAGCTGCGGCCATGCCCATGCCTCTACAATACTAGACGCATGCACCTCTTGCTTAGCTTTGGGCTATGGGAGGATAGAGACAAAAGGTACTACGTCCAGACACACCCGGGAACGCACTTATACGCAATCCTGTCGCGCCTACCTTTGATTGATTTACGTAGGGGTAGCGAGAGGAATGGAAGTGGACCGGGGTTAACTGCTGCATCGAGACCAGAACTATAGATCTCGGACAAAGAACCAAAAAAGTGTAATTATAGATCTCGAAAAGATATTAAACATTGCAATTGAAATTTTTTATTTGTAATAATCTATGATCCTAAAATTTAGTTTAAAGTGCTCACATATTGAAATTCAAAATTTTCAAACGACTTCGGATGGAGAAATGACAAAAATTAAAGTTGCAGATCTCGTAGAGCTAGGCAAATCTAGTGGCAGTCTATTTTTGTGCTAACGATCGATTTGGAGCCCAAACAAATGGTGTTTTAATGTTTCATGTGAAATTATCTTTTCATATACATTCAATATATGTGCCTTGGATTCTCTAGGTTGGCATGTTGATCGACCAATTCAATCCGACTGAGCCGTTATCACTGTGCTTTCGTGAATGATGAGAAGCAGCATCATAACACAAAAGCGGTCAGCTGTCACTCTGCTTTTAGGGTGGGTTTTAGTTTATTTAGAGCAATTGATCATTAGGGTTGGTTTATTAGTTACGAAGCTATCCCTGTAGGGTTAGTATAGTTAGGAAACTAACAATGTGAATGATGAAAACGCCACAGGAACTGAAGAAATCAGTCAAGGGGCTATGTTGTTGTTCCTGCAGGTCCAAAGCACTTACTATGTAGTACCTCTTGCTGATACGTCCCCACCAATAGAGCTAGTCCTCCGCCAAAACAGCGCTTTGAGTCTTTCCCCGGTCAATT